GTTAGGGCATTGAGAACATATATGGAGGCAACGGAGACACTACGCCGACCAAACTCTCGACAACTACTGATATCATACGTTAAACCTCATGGTCCAGTCTCGACCACCACACTATCCAGATGGATTAGATGGATCCTCACCCTTGCCGGGGTGGAACCGTCCTTCGGAGCGCACTCCGTAAGGGGAGCGGCGGCGTCGTCAGGTGCACCATTGGCAGATATTCTCCACGCAGCGGACTGGTCTCGCGAATCAACATTCCGTCCCTTTTACTTCCGACAATCGTCTAATGCCGCATTCTCCCTTATGCCTAAGCGTTAAAAATGCAAATATGAAGCCTCCTGTCATGTTATAAAATTGAAGATTATGCTAGCGCAGTGTACTGATAATCTTAATTTTAATAATGACAGGAGGCGAATATTTTCCCCCCCTTTTCTCTTGATGTTCCCATCCAAATGATGAGGTAAGTTACGATTCATGGGGATAATGGTAACCGTTGTTGCATTTAGGTTTCATAGGGCTGTAGGATGGGGAGTGTTGTCGTCTTTATATTGTAGTTTAATTAGACCGATAGTATTCTAAGGATAAGACGTATAGGAATAACGGAGAGTTTACATATCTAATCAGACATTTGTGGTCTACGGTCAATTCCGTATCACTGATACTAGTCTCTCTTTCCTTTCAGTTTAACAAGCTTTATGGAGGATGGAGAGATCGAAAATCCTTACCGTTTTCAACAGTGAATTAACTACGTCAAGCTGGATCAAGTTGGATCTGACACGTTTGTCATTTTTCTTTTGTGATGTCGCATTAATCAAGAGGAAATGATGGGCTATGCATGGGCTTATATATCCTCTGTTTCATTCTGATTGGTTCTTTCTTTAAAAGTTTTTTTCTTTGCTGCTATGGAGCTAGTAAAGAAAGTTAATGCAAATATTCGCCTCCTGTCATGATTAAAATTAAGATTATCAGTACACTGCGCTAGCATAATTTTTGATTATTCCCCATCAGGCATTTTCCTGCAAAGGCGGTGTTTACTTTACCCTCTTGGTACACCTCCAGTGGCCACTCCTCAGATGGCCACTGGAGGTGCTTCCTGGGGCAGTGCTGCACATAATCGGCATGGAGACGCTGAATTTTCCTCTTAGAGATGCACTGAGATATATCCTGGAGCACTGAAAAATCAGACCAGATTGATGGACACATCTCTCCACTATATCCTCCAGTGGGGATTTTATATGATTATTTTATTATCAACTCCTGAGGATTACACTCCTATTTTTTTCTGTTGTTTTAGCAAGACTTTTTTTTATTGTTTACCATTTTCCTTATTTGCATAGGCCGACTTGTTGTTGTATCACTATTTAGACTTTTTGGTCTGTTTTATTGTTGTTTACTATTGTTATTTGCCCTTGGCGCAGCCCTTACCTCCTTCACAACAAATAGATTCCACAACTGCTATCCTAGACTTAAAGCGGCACTGTCATGCCGAACTCTGTTCTTTTTTTTAACCCCCCTCCGGCCTTTTTTTGAATTTTCCCACGCTGTGTAAAATGACACAGAGCACTGTGATTGGATGGCTTGAAATCCATCCGATCACAGTGCTCTGTGCATTTTACACAGCTGGGAAAGTTCTTTGGAATTTTCCCACGCTGTGTAAAATGACAAAGAGCACTCTGATTGGCTTAAACCCACCAATCAGAGTGTTCTTAGCCTAATAGCAGGGTGGGGCAAGGCTTTATCAGTCTGCGCAGAGCCCTCCATGGGTGAAGATGGATTATTTTTTGCGCTCTGGTTTTTTCTTTTGCGTCGGGTTTTTTTTTTGCGCTTGGGATTTTTATTTTATTTTAAGTTCGACGGTTATGATGGTTTTTTATTTGGCCTTTTTGGGGGCTGAAAAATTAAGATTTGAGAAAAAAGAAGACGTCGAATGGTAAGTTTAATTTTACTTTACAGGTTAGTTATTTTATTCCCCCCTCACTTGAATTTGACTTAGGGCCCCCACCCGCCACCCAGGGGTGGGAGCTGGGGGGGAGGACAGTAGGTCCCCCCCTCATTGTCTTTATGGGCCCCACCCGCTGCCCAGCGGTGGGGGGAGGACAGTAGGTCCCCCCCCATTATCTTTATGGCCCCCACCCGCCGCCCAGGGGTGGGGGCCAGAGGGGGGTGGACTATAGGTCCCCCCCCCCTCATTATCATTTGGCCCCAACCCGCCGCCCAGGGGGGTGGGAGGACAGTAGGTCCCCCCCCCGTTATCATTATGACCCCGACCCACCACGCAGGGGTGGGGGCCAGGGGGGGACATTAGGTCGCGGTATAGCGAGTAGGGGTAGATCATTTACTAATACTAAGTAATCTTTACTTAGTATTAGTAAATGTGGCTGAAAGACCAATTTAGGTCTTTCAGCCTTTTAGTAGATAGCTCCCTAATACCGTGGGAATTAGAGAGTTATCTACTAAGCGGCTGCAAGATGCAGCCACAGCATGAATAGGATCGGTGTTTCATTCATTCGCTTGAAATTGCAATCCGAATAAAGTGCCGAATTGCGTTCTAAAACAAACGAACATACTGTTCTCATTCAGTTAGAACGCAATTCGGCAGTTTCATCTAAAATGACAGGAAGCATCGTGGGAACACAGAGGAAAGGTGAGAATTATGGGAAAATTGCTATGACCAGCGGAAATGAAGCACACTTTGCTCCTCCGCTGGTCAAGCGGAGGAATCCTACATAAGGCAAAGAGTCCCTACTTTGTCTTATGATTTTAAAGAAAACTAAAGAAGACAGGAAGAAAAGAAGAACAGATCCTGAGAGAGGAGGAGAAGAGGAAGAGACTGAGGAAAGGTAAGTTCGGCATGACAGTGCCGCTTTAAGATAAGGCCAGGGACTAATTAAAAGTATTTTGAAATATTGGGCAGACTAGATGGGCCGAATGGTTCTTATCTGCCGTCACATTCTATGTTTCTATGTTTCTATAACTGATCTGCAATTGGACTCTGTGCTTTTGAAAGAGAAACGCTGGATTGTCACGTCGAGGCAGTTATGGCACATGTACCATGGGCCCTCCATGCTTCTCTATGACAAACATTTGATTAGACAAAATTCATAATGCTGGATGATTTCAGTGATTGGATTGAAGCGAGTAGTCTGTTTGTCCTGCACTGGAATAAAGTTACGTTTAATAGCAATTTTAATGTTTCTTTTCATTTTTATTTATTGTCCTTGTTTTTAAAGGAAAAAAAAAACAGTAATAGGCCTAAAGGCATCTAAGAACATACCTTGAAAACAAATAAATAAAAATATATATATACACTACACAGAAACACTACAAATTCCTGAAGATTGGTGAATGTCTTCAGGGATTGACATTGCCCTCTCTTTTTTGTTTTATTAAACTGCCTATTTCAAGAGAAAGGTTGCACTCTGTCAGACAGCTGAGATGATGCACCTTCTGATTGCTTTGTGCCCCAGAACAAAGTGGAAGGCAATGCTTTGCTGCAGTGTTCCTTTGAAAATGGAATTTCATTATTATGGCCCTAAATTATGAATTAAAACTACTCATCTTCATGAGAAGCTTCTCAGTGGAGATTTTTCCTCGATGCTTTGGTTTGACTAAGGAGAAAATGTGTGCTGGCCAAAAAAAAAGCACATCATGCTTAAAAGGAATGGAATGCTTGGTTTAAAAATAACAAAAATAAATAAAAAGGAAAACACACTTGACCAATCTTTAAAGAGGATCTGTCCCTTTTTATGAATTTTTTTTTTTTTAAACGTTACTTGTTTTTATCAGCCATTGTTTTTTCTTCGCCATAAGCCCAACGTAATTGTACTAGAGCTGGTATCTTAATGACATAGAAATAAAGCAAGCTGTTTTTCTATACCTGGGGTAGATTTGCACAAACAGTAATGGAGTCACCAGATTCATTTTGTGATGAACTGATTTTGACTTCCAGTGAGCCAAGCTGTCTGCCTCCATGTCCCCACACATCTCTGTATGTGTGCAACACACACATATTCCACACCTGGAATTTTTATTCTCATTATTCTTTTTGATTAAGAGGAAAAGAGCTTTCCTTTTGCATCCGTAGGTCCATTGAACAGCGCTGTGGAAATTGTTGGCGCTTTATAAATAATAATAATAAAAAAGCTCTCTGTATAGATACAAGTAGTGATCTGAATCTTAAAAGTTACTTTCACGTCTTTTTTGTTTTGAGGTTAAACTGGCGGGGTGTGGGTGTGCTTTAACTATAGGCATTGTTTGCTAAATACATAGCAAGGGCCAAGAAATGACTAATCTCCTAATTCCTAAAGATATACGTTGGAGTGCGGAGTCTCCTAGCTTGCAGATCCCAATATGTATTCATTTATTACTTTTAATTTGCTTTGCAGTGCTACATGGTACTGCTAGAGTACTGTAAATGTCAACTTAATGACATGTCCGTGATTACAAAAATATATATCACTTCATATAATTTTTTCCGTAGTTTTTATGGCTGCACAATATGAAGTGGCGTTCTTTTCATCTTTAAGTTGCATGCTTGGATTGGAACTCAGTTGTTATGGTGCCAGGAGGTCACTTAGTTCAAGTTCAGTTTACAGCAAAGTCAGCTCTCAAACCCGGTTAACGCTATCTGCCCTTCCGGTTGTTCGAGAAACTACAAACAGGAAGCCTTGGACAGTGACGCCGCTGATTGGCTGAGAGAGCCAGCTGATGTTCTAAGCCAATCAGTAGCTCCCCATTCATAAAATGGTTTGCGAATCTTACTTATTTTTTTAAAGCCAGTTTTACCAATGGGGAGCTACTGTTTGGCTAAGCGTGTAAGCTGACACTCTTAGTCAATCAGCGACATTCCTGTCCGAGGCTTAATGTTTGAAGAACCTCACAAAAGTGGAAGGACAGAGTTAAATGGCGTTAAAAATAAGAATAGTAAGCTGGCATCAGAGAGATTCTGGCACTATAGCAACTTTATTCCAATAAAAGAACAGAATAAGTTCCAGTACGATCCACAAAAAGGAAGGGATCGCACTGGGAGAGAGCACAGTAAACTAGAATAAAGGAGCAAAATAGAAACCATAACTTTAATAAACCTACTGTGCTCTCTCCCAGTGCGATCCCTCCCTTTTTGTGGATGGTACTGGGATTTATACTGTTCTTTGTGTTATGTTTTTGTAGGTTATCTCCTCTTGGAGAGCACAGTTTAGCCCACTGTCCTACTTATAGGAGGTTTGATGCTGTGACACCCTCTCTCCACTTTTAGGAACGAGGTGTAAGCCACTGCATCTTATTTTGTGGTCTTGTTCATTCCAATGAAGTTGTTATGGGGCACTGAGTGTTCCTTTAATTTACAGGTTACATTTTTTTTTGGGGGGGGGGGGACAACTTGCAAAGCCTGCATGTACTCTGAGATAATTGGTTGAGTTACACTAAGAAGTCACTCTGTGAGTGTTGATAATAAATATTGTGCTATTATGGATCTTTAAACTTAATGAGCGCAATTCATTTTGGCCATACAACAGCCCTTTACGTCGCCTAATAAATTGAACTGATATTTAATAATTATAGTTAATTAGTAAACATAATATTGAAAATTCTTAGAAGCAGCATTTCACTTTGAAAAATTAAACTGCCCTCTTCTGGGTTATGATGTTTCTTTAACTTTGCTGAAAATCTGTTCGGGTGTCTATTATTACATTTCCACTTCTTTACTTGAGCCTTTTTTAGTCCATTAGTATAAGCGCAGCCTGACTTCAAGCTTAGTTAGAAGTAATGGCCTTTGAGAACATGTCTCGCTATGATTGCAAGGGGTTGAGGAGTTATCCATGGTAACATAGTGTTTGGTTTGTTTTTGTGTGTGAAGTACCTTTTATTTGCAAGAGATATAGGAACATGGCAACCAATGATTGGGACAGAATGAGGCCAATGTTCGGAAGTCTGGATATTCAACACATTTAAGGAGATATAGATCGCGGTGACAGATAATTGTGTAATCTGTGCTAATATTTTCATAGCAAACCTAGAAGTCTGTATACAACATAAATTATATATATATATAAAAATAATTTAAAAAATGTGTGTATGTGAAAAGAAGCAATGGGAGATTTTTTACAGTACTGTCTCAGTTACCCTATAACATCTGAAATTTACCTTTTTAAATTTTTTTATTTAAGTACATTACCATATTTTTCCATGTATAAGACGACCCCTATTTTTTGAGCCCAAAATGAAGAAATCAATATTTTAAACATCAAATACAACTTTGATATTTTAGAGATGACATCTCATTTGAGCTGTTCTAGCCTTATTATTCCTGGCTATGTCTGCAACGGTTGGACTTTGTCTGTGGTCATTGCAAGTGCTTCACCTCACTCAGATCAGTCATCAGCAGGGTATAAAAACAAGGGTGAGCAAACCACTTACACATCTATAGGTCTCCTAGTGCCAGGACTGCCACCACAACCACTTACACATCTGTAGGGCTCCCGTCTCCCAGTGCCTGTACTGCCACCACAACCACTTACACATCTATAGGACTCCCAGTGCCCGGACTGCCACCATAACCACAAAATTCAAGAAACCACTGTGGTACTCCGCAGATATAGGCCAAAATAGTTAAAAACTAAAAGTTAGCATTTAGGAATTATAAAAAAAAAACCCAGAGTGAGGAAGACAAAATGATCTATAAGATTAGGCAGAAAGAGGCTAAGCAAGTTATAAGAGCTTCCAAATCGCACACAGAAGAGAAAATAGCACAGTCAGTAAAAAGGGGGACAAAACATTTTTTAGATACATAAATGAGAAAAGAAAAGTAAAACAAGGATTAGTTAGATTAAAAACAGAAGAAGGAAGGTATGTAGAAGAGGATAAAGGTCTAGATGACTGCCTCAATGAATATTTTTGTTCTGTATTTACAGATGAAAATGAAGGAAAAGGACCTCAGTTGAGAAAAAGGATAAATGAGTCATTTATTACACGTGAGTTTATAGAGGAAGAGGTTCTATTTCAACTGTCAAAAGTAAAGACAAATAAGTCAATGGGACCTGATGGAATACACCCAAAGCTATTAAAAGAGCTTAGTGGTGTACTAGCAAAACCAGTAACAGATTTATTTAACCAATCATTGTTAACAGGAGTAGTCCCAGAAGATTGGATGTTAGCGAATGTTGTGCCCATTTACAAGAAAGGTAATAGGGAGGAGTCGAGCAACTATAGGCCAGTAAGCCTTACTTCAGTAGTGGGGAAAGTGATGAAAACCATGTTAAAGGATAGGATTGATGAACATCTAAAAAAACATGGATTTCAAGATCAGAGACAACATGGATTTACTTCAGGGAGATCATGCCAAACTAATCTTATTGATTTTTTTGATTAGGTAACTAAAATTATAGATCAGGGTGGTGCAGTAGACATTGCTTACCTGGATTTCAGTAAGGCTTTTGACACTGTTGCACATAGAAGGCTTATCAATAAACTGCAATCTTTAAGTTTGGATTCCAATATTGTTGAATGGGTAAGGCAGTGGCTGAGTGACAGGCAACAGAGGGTTGTAGTCAATGGAATATACTCAGGGATCTGTACTTGGACCCATTCTCTTTAATATTTTTATTAGTGATATTGCAGAAGGTCTTGATGGTAAGGTATGTCTTTTTGCTGATGATACTAAGATATGTAACAGGGTTGATGTTCCAGGAGGGATAAGCCAAACGGCAAATGATTTATAGGTAAACTAGAAAAATCGTCAGAATTGTTGCAATTGACATGTAATGTGGATAAGTGCAAGATAATGCATCTTGGACGTAAAAACCCAAGGGCAGAGTACAGAATATTTGATAGAGTCCTAACCTCAACAATTGAGGAAAGGGATTTAGGGGTGATTATTTCTGATGACTTAAAGGTAGGCAGACAATGTAAGAGAGCAGCAGGAAATGCTAGCAGAATGCTTGGTTGTATAGGGAGAGGTATTAGCAGTAGAAAGAGGGAAGTGCTCATGCCATTGTACAGAACACTGGTGAGACCTCACTTGGGGTATTGTACACAGTACTGGAGACCGTATCTTCAGAAGGATATTGATACCTTAGAGAGGGTTCAGAGAAGGGCTACTAAACTGGTTCATGGATTGCGGGATAAAACTTACCAGGAAAGGTTAAAGTATATTAACATGCATAGCTTGGAGGAAAGACGAGACATGGGGGATATGATAGAAACATTTAAATATATAAAGGGAATCAACACAGTAAAGGAGGAGACTATATTTAAAAGAAGAAAAACTACCACAACAAGAGGACATAGTCTTAAATTAGAGGGACAAAGGTTTTAAATAAATATCAGGAAGTATTACTTTACTGAGAGGGTAGTGGATGCATGGAATAGCCTCCTATAAGATAAGGCTAGGCACTAATGAAAGTATTTAGAAAATTGGGCAGACTAGATGGGCCGAATGGTTCTTATCTGCCGTCACATTCTATGTTTCTATACACATCTATAGGTCTCCCAGTGCCAGGACTGCCACCACAACAATTTACACATCTTTGGGGCTCTCAGTGCCAGGACTGCCACCACAACCACTTACACATCTGTAGGGCTCCCAGTGCCCAGACTGCCACCACAACCACTTACTAGACATGTGCAATTAGTTTCATGGAATTTGAAACATTCGGATGCTTACGAAGTTCCGAATTACCGAATTTCCAAATTGCGCTAGTTTGGAAGTGCCGAAACTAATGCCATTGGTCCAAATTGACGAAGCAGACAAACTTTTTTACTTACCCGAATTTCCAAACCAAATGCACATCCCTACCATTTAGTATAAAGGAAAGAGCAATATGAAAAGATTAGGGAGTGTTCCTTGGGCTTCATAACTCAAGTGTAATGCTTTAAATAAGTTATGAGTGTTGGAAACCAATAACGAGAACTTCATCTTTGTGGATGAATCCAGGAGTATAACAAGGTGTAATGTACACACTGGATAAGTATTGTAAAGGGTCTTGTACATTATGACTTGTCGGCCATGTAATGTCATCTAAGAGTATATTCCAGTGGTAGGAAACCTTCAGCACTCAAGATGTTGTGGACTTCATCTCCCACATTGCTCATACAGCCATAATGATGGCAAAGCATCAGGAGAGATGTAGTCCACAACATCTGGAGTGCCGAAGGTTGTCTACCCCTAGTGTAGACTGAAACGCAAACAATAAAATGTCAATAAAGTAAAAAAGCAATACAGCCTCCATAATATGGAACCAATAGCGGTCAAACTAGAGGGCCCTTGATGTTGTTCAGCAGATAATCGGGGCTGGGGCCTTGCATCCAAGGGTCTCAGAATCAAACCCTACACTGCAATCTGTGGTCCATTCTCTGTAAAAAAAAAAAATTAGACACCTCTTTAGGCCACCTTAAAACTATCCATTTGTTGTTGTATTTAGATTGCAAGATAAATGGAAAACTCTGTTTGTATTTGATGTGTTGCTTCCATAAAGCAGAGGTGAAGTGACGCAAGAGGCTCTCCTGGCTGCCAGGTCCTGAAACAGGGTCACAGCAGCTCCACAAAATTTCCAGGTAGGGAAGAACAGGCTTTGGCCATAGTTCTGTCCTTCACTGGAAAGGAATACATAAAACATATGATGACCCTGGGTGCCCCTTCCAGCAACTGTGTGTGTAGAGCCCTGTGGACCCTTTCAGACACAAAGCTCTGTGGAGATTCATCTTCCCGTTACCATTAAATTGATTATGGTTTTAATTATTATTAAATAGTAATGAATCATTTAACACCATTTGGATTTGAACACATGCTGTTGTTTTATGAACTTGTCACATAAGTGGAAGTGGATTTTGAAGTAATATGGTTTGGGGCCAGCATTCTGTCATCTATCACATATTTGCTCAGCCAAATCAAAATGTAGGTCATTCTTGCCATTCTCTAAGTTTTGTTTCTGGGGACACACCATAGATGAGTTTTAGTAGCAGAGCAAACTAATTGCGTTTAATATTTGGCAACCTCCTGAAAATGTACACAATGAATGATCACAATGCAGAGAAAGCACAAACTGGAGTTAAAGGGATCCTATAGTGCCAGAAAAACAAAGCCGTTTTCCTGGCGCTATAGAGTTAATAGGTTTCCACCCTCCCTCGC